CTTTTTTTTTTTAAATGGGTATGAAACAACTTCTATACTTGTTTTGTCTTTTGCTTTATCTCCTTTTTCTAGCCTCAATCCCTAGTACCTCTTTTTATTAATCCAAGAGGAGTGACTAGCAATATGTGTATATTGGAGTAATAATTCTCAAATTGCCAAAAATATACACAATTAGATCTGTACTGGTATATATCAGCTTTAGAGTAAGGGATTCAGATGTTCTTCAGGAATTATAATACCTATCTCAAAGGGTTGATAGCATATGGTTATATATAATATAAATTATGCATACATAAATATAGTAAAATTGGAGGCCTGGTGCACCAAATTTGTTCCTAGGTTCCTAGGTCTGGCCAGTGATCAGGGTTGATCTGTGGGGCAACTGGTGGGGCAATTGGGGGGGCCCCGCTCACACCCACCTTGACTGGACTAGGACCTGTGGGCTGGGAGCAGCTCCTGCGTTGAGTGTCTGTGTGTCATAGTGACTCGTCATTCTGCCATTTGGTGAATTTGCATATTAGGCTTTTATTATAGAAGATTGTGTTATTATGTACTAGGAATGATACTGGATTGTTTACTTTGTCTCATTTAATCCTGACAGGTACAGGTGTGTGTATGTGTGTGTGTGTTTGTGAGTATAATACAAAAATATCCTATATAATAAAAGGCTAATATGCAAATAGACCAAATAGCGGAACAACTGGAATTGAACAACCAAATAACTGGTTGTTATGATGTGTGCTGACAACCAGGGGGCATGTGTGGAAAATGGCGGGTGTCAGCGTTGGTTGGATGGTGGAGCAGGTATACGGGGGTGCCAGACCAAGGCGGGGCACTGGTTGCTGTCATTGGGGTGATCCTTGGGTGGCTACTGAAAATTCTTTGCTTCTGTGCACTGCGGTCCCTCCCAGTGCTCACACCTGCTGCTGGCACAAGCCCTGCTTGCACCCCCAGCTGGTGCCAGAGTCGGCATTTGCACCCATTGCTGGTGCCCAGCGCTGTTCCTGATCACTCGGCACCATTGGTGGATGCAAGGGGCGGCTGCCAACCCAGATCATCCCTGAGGGCTTCGTCACCTCCCCCTGCTCCTGAGGGGCAATCGGGGCAATAGCTGCTGCTCACACCTGCTGATGGCACTGGTCCACTCACACCAGCTGCTGGTGCTGGCCCCAATTGCTCTGTGCTGTCAGTCGGTGCAAGCGAGGCCAGCACCGTCATTGTGTGGGAGTGGTGGTGGGAGCAGGATGCTGGCAGACAGGGGCCCTGGGGTGTGGGTAGGGTGGGCCACTGCAGGAGGGGCTGGGCGGGGGCATGGAGGATGGGCCAAGACCAGCCCCTGTGCCTACCGCAGCCTCACAGCCTCGTGGCCCACTGTTCTTTTCAAGGTGTATGAATTCATGCACTGGGCCCCTAGTATACTATATATACAATTATATATATGGCATATAATGAGAAAAAGGATCTAGTATCAATCCTGGTTTATAATATGCATTTACAACTGTTATTAATATTGAGAATAAGGAACATAGATTTTGATAAAAAATATTCGATTATAGAAATCTGAAAAATAGATAATGTATTTTATTTCTTGTAACTAAAAACAGAATATAAATTGACTGCAAATCTATCCTATGCTTGATTTACAGTTTCAATTATGAATATGACTTAAAGGACTTACACCACATGTCATCATAGCCATAGACTATTAGGGCAGGAAAGGCCAGTGAAGACCGTCAGACACAACTTATTCATTTCACATATTTCACATGCATGCAACCTGAGATCTGATTGGTCCCCATATGCAGATGCAAAATATCTTAATGAAATCTGATGTTTAAAAAAATCTGGAGGTGTTTTTTGTTTGCTTTTTGCCTCTTCAGATTTTTGGAAGTATGTTTTCACTTTTAATTTGCATGTTAGTTAGTAGCCAAGCCTTTCTCCTTTTCACCAAGAAGCTATTATGTAATTAAAAACAAAGCATTTGGAATTGGAAAACAGCTCTGAGTATCAGATCCTGCCTGGAACTGCCGAACTGATCCTCAGAGTAAGTCATTACTAATGGTTTCCCATTGGGAGTTGATTCTGACAAGATGACTCAGGAGCTTCCCGATCACTAACTCAGCTGTGATTAAATGTTGCATATGAAAACCGGGGGAGATTTTTAGCTCTGAGCAGTTGAATACTTACAGTATATTTTGGGAAAAGTGTGTTTTGCTTAGGTGACAACATTAGGAGAATGGCAACTTTCAAAATGAAATCAATGGCTTTCTTCTTTAACTGGTCTGGTGGTCCCATGATGTCAAGGATCATGTTATTATCACATATAATATTTTCTCATTAAAACAGGTTCTAAAATGTAAGGAAACAAGCAAAACAAACAAACAAACAAACAAAACCCCCCCACAAAAACCAACACACTAGTTCAATATCTACTTCCTTCAGGAAACCTCCCATGAGTAATCATAATTTACCTAATACTTTGAACCTTTCTATTGAAATCACAGAATACTGAATTTCATAAAAATTTTTAAAAATATACTTGTGCTGTTATTTATTACTAAACATTAAAAATATATTTTATTGATTTTTTACAGAGAGGAAGAGAGAGAGATAGAGAGTTAGAAACATGGATCAGTTGCCTCTTGCACACCCCCTACTGGGGATGTGCCTGAAACCAAGGTACATGCCCTTGACCGGAACCGAACCTGAGACCCTTCAGTCCGCAGGCCGACGCTCTATCCACTGAGCCAAACCAGTTTCCGTTATTACTAAACATTTAAAAAATATTTTTATTGATTTCAGAGAGGTAGGAAGAGGGAGAGAGATACAAACATTAATGATGAGAGAGAATCATTGATTGGCTGCCCCCTGCACGCCCTCCACTGGGGACAAACCCGCAACCCAGGCATGTGCCCCTGATGGGAATCGAATCCTGGACCCCTTCAGTCCGCAGGCCAACGCTATACCCACTGAGCCAAACCAGCCAGGGCACTAAACATTTTTTTTTAAGTCTTCCCCAGTACTACTTCTTCTTCTTCTTCTTCTTCTTCTTCTTCTTCTTCTTCTTCTTCTTCTTCTTCTTCTTCTTCTTCTTCTTCTTCTTCTTCTTCTTCTTCTTCTTCTTCTTCTTCTTCTTCTTCTTCTTCTTCTTCTTCTTCTTCTTCTTCTTCTTCTTCTTTTCTTCTTCTTCTTCTTCTTCTTCTTCTTCTTCTTCTTCTTCTTCTTCTTCTTCTTCTTCTTCAAATATATTTTATTGATATTTTACAGAGAGAAAGGGAGAGAGATAGAGAGCTAGAAACGTGGATGAGAGAGAAACATCGACCAGCTGCCCCTGCACACCCCCCACTGGGGATGTGCCCGAAACCAAGATGCATGCCCTTGACCGGAATCGAACCCGGGACCTTTCAGTCCGCAGACCAACGCTCTACCACTGAGCCAAACCGGTTTCGGCTTCCCCAGTTCTTTATTTAAAATCTCTGCCTATAGCAAGCAGACCTGTGTTTGAACCTTGGCTAACTTTCTATCGATAGCTGCATGATCTTGGAATAGTAAGTTTCCTCATCTGTAAAATAGGGGTAAACATGGCATTCATCTCACGGGGTGGCTGTGAGGGTTGAGATAACATATGGATAGTACTTAGCATGGTGTGTGGTACATGGTAACGGCTTACCAAGCGCCTGGGATCATTACTGCCCGTCCATTCTAATTTTTCCTGGAAGGTGTAGTAGGAAGAGCCTGGGCTGTGCAGTGAGTCAGTTCGGGTGTTCCATTCCCACCACTCACCGAGAAATCGAATTAACCCTTTAGTGCCACTACTGTCTCACGTCCAGAATGGACATGCCGTAATGCTACCCAGCTCACTGGGTTGCTGGGTGCGTATTATGTCCCCGGACTCCCCAATACACTTAGGAAGTGTATCCCAAGGGCAAGGCACCGCAAGGCAAGGCGTCCACCAGAAGTTTCAAAAGAAAATAAATAAACGCGTGTTCTCCACGATGGGCACTCATCCAAGCCATCCACGCACAAGGCATTGCGGATGGCACATGCAAATGACAGTGGGTCTCCGCCCCAGGCCCTTTATATCGCGCCCTGAGAGCTCATTTTCTTGGCATTTTTTTTTTTTTTTTTTTTTTTTTTTACAAGCCGGCAGCTCCTCCAAGCCCAGGCGGAGCTGGAACAGCCACAGACTGTCCAGAAGCCACAGCAATAGGGGAACCCAAACCTCTTCTTCTTCACCCAGGAGAGGTGAGCCTCGGGGGGCGCAGCCAGGGGCCCCTTTCCAGCATCCCCGGCCTCCTGTGCCCACCATGGAGGCTTTCCCTCGCGCGTGGTGGAGAACTCCAGTCCTCACACGGTTAACCTTGGAGGAGGGAGGAGGGAGAGGGTCCCCGCCCATGAATAAAAAAAAATAAAAAATAAAAAAAAGAGGATCACCTCGGCCCGGCCCCGCCCCCTCCGGGCCCCGCCCCCTCCGGGCCCCGCCCCCTCCGTCCCCGGCCCCGCCCCCTCCCCACTGGGGACCGACCCGCGGCCGCACCTGCCGCGCGCACACGCCCCCCGCACGCCGGCCGCCCCGCGCGCCAGGCCTCCGCGCCGCCGCGGCGCCCCCGGCGCCCCCCGCCCGGCCCCGGCCCGCGCGTCCCCCCGCCCTCCGTGCGCTCCGCCGGGCCTCGGCGCGGGCCCCGGCCGCCCGAGCCGCCGCCGCCGTGCCCCTCGGAGCCGCCCCGCCGCCCCGCCGGCCCGCGCGAGGCTCCGGCGAGGGAGGACCCGCCGCCGGGGCGCGCGAGGCCGCTGCTGCCGCGGCAGTGCCCTGCGCGCCGGCTCCTCCCGCTCCGACCTCCCCGGTCCTCAGCCTGCAACGCCCCGCTCCTCAGCAGCAGCACCCTTAGGGTGGCCTTCTCTTAGGGTGGGGCGGGAGGGCCCTGCATTTTTTTTTGGGGGGGGGAGTGGGAGGGTGGGCGAGGAGAAGGACCCGGAGGGAAAGGACTCGGGGCGAGACTATGGGGAAGGACCAGGAGCTGCTGGAAGCGGCGCGCACGGGCAACGTGGCTCTGGTGGAGAAACTCCTGTCTGGCAGGAAAGGAGGGATCCTGGGCGGAGGATCCGGACCCCTGCCCCTGTCTAATCTGCTCAGGTAAGGACGGGGGGATGGCATCCCTCCTGAAGCATTGTGATGGATCCGTGCTGCTCCTCCTCCTCCTCCTCCTCCTCCTTGGGGGTACCCGCACCTGCTGGCGGATAGCGGTTCCTTCTTCAAACGAGACGGGGAGTGTGCATGGAGAGGAGGCTCGAGCCTCCCGGTCAGATGGATGGACGCCTTGGGTTCTCGGAGTGATGCTCAAATAGCCTGCCATCAGGGCGTCCGTCGCTACTTTCCTCCAAGAGCCGTGGTGCAGAACTTGGACCCGTGTTGTTGGAAGGAAATCGGTGTGGCACCAGTGTGTGTTCTGGCGCCTCAGCCCCGAACCCCCCAGCCTTTGGGTGTGCGTGTGACTGTTTGAATGAAACTGTCAGAGAAGCTACAGCGTGAATGCCATTACCCTGCAAGAGCCACAGGCTTAGATTGCTGCTACCTTCTCTTGCAAGAAGGCATTTATTTGCTCTGGGAGGGGTTAGGAGCCTACAGAATGAGGAAAGTGAACCTTGGATGAGATGGCATCAGGACAGGGTGTGGATGAAACTTGATGAGGCAACCCAGCAGCACTTTGTTCCCTGGATGTAGCTGAGTGGAAACTTAGTTATTTTGTATCTCAGGATTGGGATCCTGGATTTGGAACATGGGAGAGGCCTCTGAGTGTGGAGATGTTTCAGGTGAGGCTGATGCTGCTTGGAGAATCTTTCTAGGATGACATTTTTTTTTTTTAATGTCAAGATCTTTATTCAGGAAGCAGTGCTTTAGAAATAGCAGGGATCATTTACACATTAAAAAAAAAACTATTATCTGAGAAGTTGAGATGGACAAATGAGATCAGTTGGGAGGGAGGATGCCTGAAGAATAGTCACTGGATAAAATTCAAGGAAAGCGCTTTAGTTTCTACAATCATGGCTTTTCCATGTATTCTGGATATTTTGGGAGGCATTATTCATATCTTTACCCCATCTCTTAGGCAACTCAGCTGTACTTGTAAAAAAAAAAATTGAAGAGCCCAAGTGATTTTCATGGTTTTAAAAGGTGTTCTGTGCTACTCCGAACGTGTGCTTCATACAAACTTTTGGATGATAACAGTGTGTTCTTTACACAGTTCTCATATGTGTAGTGGTCAGACAATGCAGTTAATTGCAGTCCTGGCTAATAGGGTACATGAAAACATTTGTGTTTCAGTGAAATGAATTTGGTTGGAAAATAGTTGCTGGGATTCAAAAAAGCTCTGTAAGTGATCATCTATATTTGTTGACAGTGACATTTTATTGGAATGACAGTTCACTTCCGAACAATGAAATGCTTGTGGAACATTTTTTTCAGTAGGTCTTAGAAGTGACGACTCTTGTGTATACTCCCTTGTTAAGTAATTTTCACTTCCATACAGGAGTAGATAATGTGTACATACTTTAGATTATAGCTCCAGTAATTGCCCTTAGTCACAGGTAATTTATACAAAAGCAGTTATCTGGTTACAGTTTTAAGTTGCGGGTAAAATAAATTTATGCCAGGGTGACGTATTAGTTATAAAATTGAATATGGCTAGAAACCTATGTGGTTAAAATAGGTTTCTAAAAATAATCAATTCCTTTGGAATAACATTGAAGAGTTCTTTGAGAACGGGGAGAACTCTAGTTAATTTCATTGAGATAGTTAAAAAAAAAAAGCCTATTTGTGTGATCAGCAGATATCTATGAAATGCTTTCTCAGTTGTGCCATTTTTAAAAAGACTAGATGTCAAATTTTAGGAATAAAATACCAACTATTTAATGTTAGTAAGTATTAAATCTCAAGATTGTGACCCACAACGTAACTCTTGAATGAGAGGCTTTCTAGTTTCCTGCCTTTCAGAGGTAGTAGCAGTCACTCTACAACAAGAATGCACGTAGAAAACAATGAAACTAAAAACATATTCACTAGAGTAATGTGAACCAAGTTGTAAAAATCAGAATCAAATCCGGTAACCGTTAAACTTGCATTTTTCGACCTCATACTGAATAAACAACTAAAACAATGTCTTTGAAGAAAATGGGAGTTGAAATTGTATTTTTCGGATGATCACTTGCATAAAATGAAATTCCTAAGAGAAGGCACAGTTTATTTAGTTGTCACTTTATTTCATAAATGATTGTCATAGAAATTTATTTATAGGATTATGGAAAATGTGACCCTTCCCATTTCAAACATGATGATGACACTTCAAAATTTTAAAATATTTTGGAATTAATTGATTAATTGTGGAATAGGGTTGTCTCTCCCCTCCCCCCCCATTTATTACTTGTGTTGTGCAATAGTAGTGTGAGATCCTATGTGAAATGCTTACATGTGTTATCTCATTGAATTCTATGTCAACCTTAAGTGGTCGATCCTCATTTCACAGATGAAGGACCAAAGAGAGAGGAAGACCAAGAACTAGCCCAAGGTCCCATAATTAGTACGGGCCAAGATGTGAAGTTATGTGATTCAGATCTGCTCTATTGCATCTTATGTGTTATTCATTGAATGTTTTAATTTCAAAAGTTTAAGGTGTATCTGAATATTTTTTGCTATGCATAATTTAATTAAAAAATCCTTAATTTTTTTTCTAATTAAAAAAATCTCATTACTGCCCTTTGAGGGATCACTAGTTAAGAAATTTTGTGAAGATGCTTTTGAATTCATATTGCCTCCTAAATGAGCAGTGGCCATTATGGTGGGGAATCGTATTCTTGGGTGACAACTGAACTTTTTAGCAAAAGTAAGAATGACCTTAAATAAATATAAAATTGCTCCTTACTGTCCTCTTCTATAAAATGGGAATAGCAATAGCACCTACCATATAGGGTTGTTGTAAGGATTAAATGAGATGTTAAGCAATGGATGCAAATCATTTAGCACAGTGGTCAGCAAATTGTTGACTAATGAGTTTGCCTACCACTGACTTAGCACATTGGTGTTTACCATCAGTGTTATTATAATTTCTCATGCATCTCTAAAGCACTGGATTCTATTTCTTAATACCTTAATGATGACGGATTTGCTCCATATTGGACTGGGAGTAAATTTCTGTAGTAGGTTTTCCATTAGAATCATAGACTCTTCAAATAGAATGGGGCCTTTTAGTTCAACATCTCACTTAGAGGAATTGCCTCTCACATCTTTTACCAGTGAGTTACTCCTGTGACTAGATCTATTCCATTTTTGAAAGTTCTAATTATTTAAAAAATTAATTTTATTGAGTTGAAATACACCTCCCTTTAATTGCCAGCAGTTCATATTAGTTTAATTCACCTGCCAGTACAGTTCTTAAGGAGCATGCATTTAGGCTTATTGTTTTCTTATAAAACTTCTATACTTTTTTTCGTGGAAGTATCATATTTCTAGCAACCTTTTGTCATGTGGCAATATAGATCAGGTGAATTTAGATGCTCATCTTTTTTACTATATTTTTCTTTCTTTGTATATTCTTAAAGTTTGCAATGACTCTTGAAGTGTAGCGAGCAGAAGTGGACAAAATGACTACCTGTCATTAGACCAATGTAGAATACATTGCGACTCGATGTACTATTGAATTAAAAATGCAAAACCAAGGAAACAGGTGACAAAATAGCATGTGTAGTATGATCCTACTTTTTTTTTTTTAAAGAAAAAAAATAAGTGTGTGTGAACATTTAGAATGTGTATTAAGAAGTCTGGAATGATAAACACCACAATGTAAACTGTATTCATTTAAAAAATATTTTATTTATTTTTCACAGAGGGGTAGAGAGAGAGATAGAGAGCTAGAAACATCGATGAGAGAGAATCATCGACCAGCTGCCTCCTGCACACCCCTTATTGGAGATGTGCTCGCAACCAATGTACATGCTCTTGACTGGAATCAAACCTGGGACCTTTTAGTCCACAGTCTGATGCTCTATCCACTGAGCCAGACTGGTTTTGGCAACTGTATTCATTTTTGAGTGGTAGAATTGTGGGTGATCATTATTTTCTGCTCATTTATGTGCATTCTCCAGAATTCCACAATGGACACATATTATAAAAAGGAAAATAAAACAGCTATTTAAAACATAATAGAATGAAATTACCACGTTATTATTATTGTTGATCTAAAACCTACCTTAATACAGGCCACATTTTCCTAGGCTGTTGAATGGCATTGATTCACATTGGGCAAATACTCAAAACTTCTAGGTATTCTTTTTTCCATGCCATGCGGAGCCATGCTTCCCCTATATGGTACTTGTAAATGTCTTGCTTGAACTTAAATTATCCCTATTTCATCTCATCTTACTTGCTTTAGCCTATATTTATAATCTGTCTAGATCTCCATGACTCGTAAGTCTGTCTTCCAACATAGTCACTTCTCTGCGTCATCTGTAGATTTAGTAAGCCTGTTTTCTATAACTGGAATTCAACACACCATGATGCATTCTCTAAAGAACCTCTCTTTGGCTTAGCACGAATGTAAAAGTAGCAGTCTTTATGGGTGGTATTTCTATCACCAATGAAGCCATTTAACAGAACCATCAGCTACTTCTTTCCAATATATCTGTGAGAATAATATGGAAGAGTACTTTAGCCACTGCCTTTTTAAATTTACACTATATTTTGGTTATGGCTTTCCTTGGATCTACGCCTTTAGTGATAAGTCAACAAATTCCATCCAAATCCGGCTACTTAATTTTAGCATGTTCCCAGTAGTAAACCATTGATGATGCTTAATACTAATGTGTCTCATTTTTCTGGGTCTGCGTACTTACACTCATTTGAAGCAGCTAAGTGTCTTTTAGGATCTCTGTCTATTTGGAACTTCAGTCATCTCCTAATGTTGTTTGTTTATCCTTTCTAGTTTGAAAATTATTCTCACTAGGGAGATAGAAGCAAACTAAAAGTTGGGAATAATCGGATTCTTGGCATTGTTCAATGTCATAGGAAATTCTCTTGTGGTCTAAAACCATCCATGATTTTTTTTTTTTAACTGTTCCGCTGTCAGAGGTCAAGGTTACATTAGC